AATAATTTGTCTTATTTTATAATATCAGCTGCTTTACTCCTGGTACTTGATCAAACGTTCTCACAAATTAAACAAAAGTTATACAAAAAACTTTAAATTAACAAATGTTTTTATTTTTCAATTCCAAAAAGTTTGACAAAAGCTTGACTACATGATATGTTTTAAATAATCCAACATAAGTTTCAAAGTTTCAGGGTAAAGCACAGAAAACTTTTGCTTTTTTTTCAATGAGAGCAAAGTGCAATAAGGAACTACTTCTCTGCTGTCAGTGAAAACATTCCTAGTACAATATGTTGTTACCTGGCAAACATTTTGAATTGGCGAGTGCAGTTTAATTTTCTTTTTGAATGCATGATTAGGGTACCCTCTCTTTTACCCAGGATTGCCATTTTTTATTCATTGAATAATGGTAATGATGCCATTACATGTATGTCATTATTTGAGAATACTTAAAGTTGTATTGTTGGCATTTTCTATTATGTGTAACATGACCAAAAATCAAATTTGAGAGTAATGGCATTCATGAGTTATACTGATTGAAACCTAACATATTGGAACTTAGAAAAGTTATTTGTCTTTATAACGATACATCCCTTTATGCATTGCTGTTTGAACTCTACTTCAGGTATGCACTAAACATAACTAGCCCAGAGAGTATATATATTTGATTTTTGAGTTCACTCAAATGCAGTAGTAGTAACATGAATAAAATGACAATGCAGAAAATAGTCAAGATGTGCATCTCAGACTAAACTTAATGAATAATGATTTTGTTATATACGTGATTTGGTGACTTGATGACACTTAACTTAATTACAACCATACTACAAAACTGCTCAATGATGTTCAGCTATTGACAAGGTCGATATCTTTACTGTATTAGGTACAATATGCATATTACATTAACATGTCAAAGGCATACACAAGTTGTGCTGACAACAATAATCTCATTGAATTTAACTGTTCTGATTTTTTTTTCAGTTGTAGTTGCCTTTCAAGATGGATACTACTACAATTGAAACAACCACTGGTAATGAAAGTAGTGATGGTGGTGGCGTTCCTCCACTCGTCATTGCCAGCCAAGTTGATATTAATGTGACACTATTTATCATGATGGTGTCAATGGGATGTACCATGACTGTTGGTGAAATCAAACAAGTATTCAAACAACCTCGTGGTATAGCGATTGGAATCATATGCCAGTTTGGTCTGATGCCATTGCTCGGGTTTTCGTTGGCACATGCTTTCAGTTTAGAGCCTAACGTTGCCATTGGTACTATTATCATTGCTAGTTGTCCTGGGGGTGTTCTGTCCAATGCAATGACGTACTGGACACAGGGAGACACAGTACTAAGGTAATTACCATAAAACTTGACAGCCCTACTCTTATATCACCTTAAAAGCTCCAGTTTTAGACGAAATACAAGTTTTCAATATGTTCAATAATATTTAGCCAATCACTATCAAACTTTTTGACTCCCATGGTTAATCTTTATAAATAGATGACCTGTATATTATTTTAAGTAGATCTGCCAAAAAAATGTATTTTGGGTGATTTTTTTGCAATCATTGATGTGTGCACTGATCCATTATAGTAAACAACATAGCTTAACAATGTATGTGATTTCAATATCTTGGTCATAGTACAACAGAGAGGTTGAATGTCGATTACAAATCATTTGCCATGCTGAATAATTATTGTTTTATGCAATTATTCCAACCTTTTGAATAAAAC